TGGCCCACAGCTCCCCGAGCAAGGACCCCACGGGCCCCACGCGCCCCACGAGGCCTCTGCGGAAGGCAGGGACAGAGATCAGGCGGCCGCCCTCCCCAGGAACCGCGCCTCCGGGTAACCTGGGACTAAAGGACCCTTCTTCCCCATGGCAGATCTGCCATCGCCCCCACCCATGCTCCCCTAAGCGCGCCTGTCGAAAACATAGTTTAGGTGCCGACCCACCTCCCCACCCCGGCATAAGGTCCCGGGGGTCAGTCCTGCTCTTCTCCCTGCATCCTGCACACATTTGGGCTCAGGGCACGCCACAGAACTAAGCTCTTACAGATGCGCAAACGAGGGCAGCGGGAGGGAGATGCGTTCCAGGGGGCTGGACATGGGTCCTGACACGCTGGGCCTCCTGACGGTGCACCTGAGCCCCGCGCTGTTCCCAGCACCTCTCTTCAAAAGCCCCGCCCTCCCTGGCTCCGCCCCCTCACGTGGCTCTACACCCAAGGGTCCCCCGGCTCTTCCTAGCCACGCCCATACCCCCCACGGTCCTGCCCCTCCCAGCCCCACCCACCCACAACGCTTCCCGGTGGTTGGCAGCCCCGCCCATTCCAAGCCCCGCCCCCATCATCCAGCCCCGCCCTCACCTAGCGGGCAGCGGAAGCGCACGTGGTAGTTAGAGCAGCGGCGGCCACGCGGTTGCTCGCGGTTGAGGCACCAGAAGCCCCGCGTGGGGTTCAAGTGCACGCGCTCGCCGACGGTGGACGGCAGGGCCCAGTCCGTGGTGCGCGCTTCCAGCGCCAGCGGCCGCGGGCACACGCGCGCTGGCCCGTAGTAGAAGCGGATGGCGGCCAGGCTCTCGAAGTCGCCGTCGCCTCCGGGGTGGTCCACGTTGAACCAGGACGTCCACTCGCTGGCCTCTGCAGGCACCGCACGCGCTGGGACCGGGGCGGCGGCCTGTAGGCCCCCATGCGTGCGTGCAAAGGCCTTACCTGCTGTCTCAGCCCCCTCCCCCGGTGGGCACGGGCTAGTCGAGCGCACCCACGACCCAAGCCAGCTGCCTGAAACAGGTGCAGGGCAGACTGGGTTCCCCGCGCCCCCAGTTCTGCCGCCCAGGGCCTGACCTGGTCCATCCCGGTGCGCTGAGCTCTTGCCTCTGTCTGACCGGCCTCTCACTTAGATCTTGAACTTGGGGCATCACCTCCAGGGGCTGTCATGTCCAGGGACCAGGACGGCACCGGTCCCTTCGCCCAGTGTGTGCCCTCTCCTCACACGACCCCAGTAGCCCAAGCCCCACAACAAGCCCGCAGCAGAGACGGGGCTCTGAGGCAAGCTAACTCACCTTCCCAGTCCTCCAGGGCTGGTGAGGGCTGGCCGGGGTACACGGACCGTCTTTCCAGGCCCAATGCAGTCGCCGTGGGCTCCTCGGTGGGGGTGGTGTCTGTGGGTGAGGAGTGGGGAGAAGGAAGCATGCTGCTACTGATGGGGACCGCTGGGAGCCTCCTTTTGGGCAAGGTGCAGCCATGATCATCCCCTTTTTTTTTCTTTTTT